GTAATTATATGCAATAATCAATTTATAACCGTTTGTGGAATTATCAATCATATATATATATATATATACACACACACACACACGATAGAAAGGAAAAGACCCACTTACCTTAGGTCCGCACTACGACTCCCTAGCACGAATATCGAGACATCACGAACTATTGTCGTCTAGAACAATTATCAAATCACATATCAGAGTTCTTACCGATAGAATACATAATTTACATAAAACACATCCCTACGTAGTTCAATCCGGAAGATCCGCATCACGGATTTCCAATCTGTTACTTCCAAAGATACACATTATACTTCTAAAACAACATCCTAAAGTTCCATTACGATCCAACGGTCGAATCTCCGCCAATTGTCAAAACCAAATGGCGGTTAACATTTTATTTTACTAACTTACAAATCCAATTCGGGAAGATCCGTGTGTCGTATTCCCGATCCATAAGTTCCCAGGCTCCTCAAATATTAAGTACTATAACATATTAAAGTTTGGTGACGATCCAACGGTCGGATCGTCTATTCATATAATGACCTATTAATGTAACGTAGAGAATTTAGGTTCCAACAATCAACCTACGCCATACAATTACCATAACTGAACTCAAGGCATCTAATTTAGCGTGACAGTAGTATCGACGGTCCCCTGGCTACGCGCCGCCGCAGGTGGCGGTTAGCCGCCCCAACTTGCCGAAAAATTCAACTATTTCTAAAAATTCTCAAATTTCACAGAAATGAAGATCTCAATGAGTGGAGCAACTTTCATACCTATAACTAAGGCCAATTTGGCCAGAAAAAGTCCCAATTTCCCCAAAACCCGTCGACAACCCTAAGTGGGGGGCACTTTAATTCAACCTTAATTGAACTCCAACGCCCCAAAACTTGATTGGGCTTTGTTCCTGGGTTCAAGTGAGTTGATAATGGGTGGTGATCGAATGAGTTTGCTTCATGAATGGTAGATCGCCGCCATAAGGCCCTCAACGCCACTGTCTAGGTTCTGAAAAATGATAGAAAACCGCCGGATATAGCTTCAGGTCAAAACCGGGTCGCACGGGTTGGCTAATACCCGATTCTCCCCCCTTTTTCTTCTTCTCTCCTTTTCCTTATTTCCCTCCTTTCTCTCTCTTCTGATTGGTCGTCCTTCTTCCTCTCTCCTCTCCCGATTCGCCACCATCTCCCCTCTTTTTTCCTCCTGAAACTCTCCATTCTTTCTCTTGCTGCCATCAGGCAGCCTTCCCCCCTCATTTTTTTTTCCAACATTAAAATAACTAAAAGATAATAATATAAAGATAAAAGAATATATATATATATATATATATACATAGAGCTTAAGGGAAGGGATCCCCATTTTTTGAAAAAAATGGGGATTAGGTGTGGGGCCCACTTCACATCTAATTTCAACGATCCGAACCATCTATTTTGTTAGTCTCGATTCATAGATCATCCTTACAAAATATTAGCTAAATTGGAAATGTTTAAGACATCTAATTAGGTTCAAGGAAATGAACGAATACTTTGTTATATAAGAAAATATGAAATTTGATATTGATAATTAAACAGGCAAATGGTTTCGGATTGAATTGAATTTTTGCAAGGATGATCTATGAATCGAGACTAACAAAATAGACGGTTCAGATCGTTGAAATTTGATGTGAAGTGGGCCCCACACCTAATCCCTATTGTTTTCAAAAAATGGGGATCCCTTCCCTTAAGCTCTCTGTGTATATATATATATATATATATAGTAACTAAAACAAAAGTACTTCTCGGGTTTACAATTTCGTAAAACTTTAATCGTAACTCCAAACTCTTCTGCTTGCGCCTATGAGCCCGTATTGTCGAGTACTTCAGGAATACGCTAAAGGAATATTTCATACACCTCACTATACATTGATTAACGAAAGTCAATACCCTTGCCTATAAGGGCATTTTCTAAAAATCACGCTTTTAAAATTTGTAAAAACATAAAATTAGGGACGAGTCGTCACAGTAACAAAAAAAATCTAATGGCCCAAATTTAAAGTCAATGGTTAAAATAATTATAAAAAATTATTTAACTCAAAAGTCACCCAAAAACTCTATAAATATCTATATATTTGTTGAAACATCCACACAAAACTCACTTTTCTCCTACAATTCTTCTAATTTTTCTTTCTACCATCTTCCAAAACCACGTGTTTGCTCATGTGTCTTGTGTTTATACATCTCTATCATCTGTTTCATATTCTTCTATAGTGTTTCATGAGTTTCATATGTCGGTTTAGTGAGTCTTCAATGTTTATCGAAATTTAAATATTTTTAGGTTAAAATGTTCATAAAATTAATTTAGGATAGTTTACATAATTTTTTTTAAAGTTAATTTTTAAAAAATAGCCTAATTCATTCTTTAATAATCTGGTGCTAAAATTTTAGGCCATAAGGGTTGGAGCAGAAAAGTAGTTTCTGGGTTAAAACCCAAATTTTCTGGGCTAAAAATTTTAGGTTTTAGGCCAAGGGTTGGAGATGGTTTTGGTCTAGCATTAAAAACGATGATGTAGCAGGCATTTGGCCCACCAAAAATTATAAAATCATAAAAAAAAATTATAAAAAAACACTACAAATTGAAAAATCTTTGTTTGCATTTTTTGACTATCACTACTGACACACTCTGACCTAGAATGTCCACTTGGACTCCGAATTGAGTTGTGCTAACCGACACCATGATGGTGACGAAGCCATAAAGTGTAGTGTAGTGGAAAAATAATGTGAATAAATTTAAACCTAAAAGTGCCTAATCAAAAGAGTGCCTACATGTTCATACTGTCAAGAACTACAAAGATATGCTAAAAGAATGAGTTCTACGTCTCTCTAACCGAAGGTCAACAAAAGTCAAAACTTTGCCTCTAGGGCATTCTCGTCAAATCACGTTTTTTTAAATAATAAAATTGTAAATATAGTGACGGGTTGTCACAACTACAATCCCACCCTACTCCTTAATCTTTTCTGAGGGGTTGGGCACAACATCTGTTCTTGGCACTCAAATCACTAATATCTCCACCATTCAGAGCTCAACACCTCACTCTATCGCCCACACCATGCACCCACCGAACCAAAGTTGATTCCAAATCGGCTACGACCAAGTCGTGTCAATTCGATTCTTGAATTACTTATCATCTTCCTTATGCTTTTACCAGGCGGAGAATTATCACAAGCAAGCGAAACCACCACTTCACTTCAAATTTCACTGCGAGTTGACCATTTCTTGCTCCTTACAGAAGTCATTGTCGATTCACTGGTATTAGTCTAACTTCGTTTTCTCTCTTTTCTTTGTGTGCGCATGTTTTCGTCAATTCAATCCACGGCGGAAATTTGCTCTCATAGATTTAATGCGACCACATCCACCCTAAAAACAAGGAAAGGAGAAGGTTTGTCCAAAAGAAAAGAAAACATAAGAGTGAGCATGTGTAAATAAGATTTTGTTGGACCTTTCAACCCAATCTTATAAATAAAGAGTAAAATTAGAATTACTTCAAACATTTCTTCAAATCAAAGCATGTCTTGTTCACACTCGAAACTATATTGAGCTAATATATATTCCAAAAAACGGTTATTAGCGTTGAAAAAAGTTCATTCTTTTTTCTTCATGCACTAAATAAGTAAGAAATGATTTTTTATTTTTTTTTAGAGTGCTCATAACTTTTTAATTAAAAAAATCTAAAAGAAGAAAAGGTCAGAATCTTGTGTATATTAGTAAAGCAAGCAAAGGTTGACAACCTAGATTATACAAAGTTTAATCCATCCAAATCTATATATATATTGTTTTAAATATTTTAGTGATCTATTCCTTACATTGCAGGCAAAAGATGTGGTTGACAAATTATAGGTATGGTATCAACATAAAGTATTGGTAGTTCAAGGTAGAATTTATATGTCAATAAATCTTCTTGTTCTTCTTTTTAATTTTATTTTAATAAGAAAATATTTATTAATACCCCATTCTCTCTAAAACAATTCAAAATTATAAATTCTTGTATTTGCTAATTAAGGAGAAATGTGGTAGAAGGATGACATTGGAGTTTGGACAGTCGCGATCAACTTCTATTCAAACATCAAGATATTGACTCTCTCCCCAACAAAAAATATATATATATATATATATATATATATTATTTATTTATTTATATGTGTTCAAATTTGATTTTTTTTCTTCTTCTCCTCTATGTCAATGGTGTTGCTGATTGAAAAACTTTATAAACATCGAAGAAAAAAGTGACTGATTTTATGTTCTAAAGTCAAGTGAAATGTTTGAGGAATGTAAATCGAAATAGCAAAACTCTTGTTTCATGTGATTTACAAGTGAAACCAAGATTTTGTCACAATTAAAGGATAAATTCTAGAATTCAAAGGTTCAACAGAAGTATAGAATAATCTATCGAGATAGAATTAAAAATATTTATTCGATTACACATAAGAATTGAACTTGAATTTAATATGAAATAGATAAAGATCCTACTATACACACTGTACAACACAGGACCATTTCAAGATATTAAGGACGCCATTTAATTTTTGTCTTTGGGGACCATGTTAGACGCGTTCAAACAATTATGGAAAACCGCACACTGGCACAAATTTCTTGTAATTTCTCGTAGTCATTAAAATCCCAAATCTCATCCCGTTGTGCACTAACGAGAGCTTACAAAGCATGATGACACTGTTGAACGAGAACAACTTACAAAGCATGTTGCCATTGTTAGCGTAACATCTCATACCATGAACTATTGGAACTTCTCGTGCTAAACTTTATAACCCAGCATGACACACCACCATCACCATCGACCTTGTTTCAACTTAATCACTTATTACTAAGTGTTGACTTTTATTACAAAAAATCTCGGTGATATTAAAAAACGAACTCACATATATTAATTGTATATCATTGTCATACGCCCAATGTGAAATTCTACTGTCCAACATCTTTCACCAACAGAAACCAACATGCCAACCAAAAGAAAATTCATTAAATATACAAGAAAATATAATAATTTAATTTAATTGTACATACGAACTACAAAGTGGAGGAAATTGGAAGTTTGACCAAGTCTAGAAAACCTAAAAAACAGGGTAATCAAACAGTAATTTACAATGTCCCCCATCCCATCCACCTCTACCTGGCCTAGTGCTGCAAACCCAAATTGGTAAAATCCATCCACTTAGCCTTTCATCACCAGGCTTAGCTATACAAACTTGACAAAATTACAGAACGTATGCAGTAGTAGGTACGCATATTCATTCACCAAATCCACCTGAAGCTTACAGAAAGTGACATACATACATAGAAGCCTATGCTAAAACCCCCAATTTAAACAGAAGCCGGACGAAACCTGAACAATCTTCGGACTTAGGTTGCGACAAAGTCTACACCGGCAAGACAAGGTCGTTTTCGCCCTAGTCACCGAGGCAGGAGAACATTAAAAAGGAATGCTGACCTCCATGCCTATGAAGGCTAATCTTTTATTTAGTTATGTATTTCTTGCTTCATTCTTCAACATCATCGATTTTTCCATTTACGAGATCAACCTGCATCTTGTATACCCCTTCCTCAAGTCAAATGAAAGAAAACGACTTCTTTAGTTGTCCAGTTTCATGAGCTTCTTGCCAAGTCCTTACCGCTATATTCTCCACCTCCATAGGATGCAGCTGCAGCAGCTACATCTAGACCGCCACCAATTGATGTGATTAGGGCTGATAGGCCACTACTGGGGTTATTACCAGCGGCCATTCCCAATCCCAAAAGATCGAGTGTGGTTTGCTTTGGACCGAACATTGGAGGACTTCCCATCATTAGTTCCTTCCATCCCGAACCTCCGTCACAAGGAAGACCAAGTCCAAGCCCTGCAGCAACTGAGACATTATCTGGTTCTGCCGGCCTTTGATTCCACTGCATACTCTCTTGTTGCGTGGAAGACGTTGAGGATGACATAATGCCAAACCCACGAAGCAATGATGCATTGGTTGCTGCTGCGCCCATTTGAGCAGCTTTCTGAAGCAGTGCTGTCGCAGACATAGCTGGTTGTGGTGGAGGAGCATATTGCCTACGCTCCTGCCCTGCAGACTCGAAAATTGAGGATCCATGGCTGGTTGAGAGGCCAAGAGAAATGGGCTCCATTGAAGAAGATGGAGCTAGGTTGGTTGATTGATCTGGATGCCCCATGGCTCGAATTAAGTCAGTAAATGCAGGCTGTTGAGGAGGTTGCAAGCTCGCCGATGTTGTTGAGGAAGCAAATAAACTTGCAAACACACCACTGCTTGTACTGCCATTGCTACTTGAGCTGTTGCTGCTGCTGCTGCTACAATTCCATTTTCTACCCGCCACAGCCGGCACTGCTTCTACAACTTGCGTGGGATTTTCTGGCAACTCTCTCACTACATCAACAGAAGGAGAAAAGGATGTAAATTAAAGGGGTCATTTAAAAGTTAAAAATGCAGGCATAGAAAGTTAAGACCTTTCTATATGAAAGAACTTTTGAAGAAAAAGGAGGATCAATAATGGCGTCCTTTCTTTAAACCCACTTACTCTTCCCTTTTTGGCTTTTGAATCACTAAAGTTTAATACAAAATCTCCAGGAAGCTTAATTTTTAATTAATTTGTTAAATCCCCTCAAATCTTTGATCAATTTACCAATACAGTGATCGATTACAATCCCAGCTGAAAACAAATTTCATAACAGACAAAAAATACTAAACTCCAAGTCCATAGCAAGAGACACACAACATAATAAAACAACGACAATTAAAAACGACATAGATTTTGTTGTTTGTTTTCAGGCTAAAAACACATCCGACAAAACCCAACTGAAAAGATTGAAAATTTTCCAATTTGGGACATGTGTTACCTGGACTTTGTGTAGGCGGGGATGAAGATAGCACACCAGCTGACTGGGATGGAACTGATGAAGTTGTAGGCTGGGGTGGAGCTGCGGCCGGCGGAGGCGGTGACGGCAGTGGTTGTGGAGGTGAATTAACAGATTGAGCTCTTGGGTCTGACTCTGAATTCAAATTCACCGCTGTGGCAGCGGCTGTGGTGGCGGCAGCCGTGGCGCTGGTGGTGGTGGGGCCTCTGGCGCTCTCCTCAGCCAAAGCATCGCAAAAAGCCCTGTGAGTTATGAAGCTGTCCCTCCTTCAAACACAAAAAAGACTTCACCAACAAATCCAAAAACCCAACAATTTAGTCTAAAAAAACATTAAACCCTAAGACAAAATCGAAACTCTATTAATTAGCAAACCTTGAGAACAAAGTCCCACAATCACATTTGTACTCTCGGGTGCCACAAATCTTGGAATGAGCCTTCCAATCCGACTGAACCGCATACTTCTTTGAGCACTTATCGCATTTCCACTTCTTCTCCCCGTGCTTTCTACAAAAGTGCTTTTTGATCCCAGTAAGATCACCCAAAGCTCTAGACGGATCGTGGTGAACACAGGAGGCCTCCGGGCAGACGTAGACTCGCTTCTTCACCTCTTTGCTCGACCTCTGCCGCAGCTTCCATGGCAGATTATGGCCGCGCCGATGAAGCTGCAGATTCTGATCCCTCTGAAACCCTTTGCTGCAAATTTCACAGACGAATCGGTTCGTCGCCAAAAGGGTCTTCGGCGACAGAGCAATCACTTCTGCATCTGGATCTGCAACAAAACCCAAAAGTCAAATTAACCCAGAAATCCAATCAGTAATCCGAACAAAGTTTAAGAAAAATCTGAAGAAAAAAATGGTAATTTGTTTTTTGAGCTACCTGGCATTCCTGGCAAGTTTCTTTTTTTCTTGGTGGCGGGTTTGGGCGGAGCGGTTTGGTTGCCGGAGGAGGAAACGCTAGCTTCGCCTGAAGCTGTAGGGGAATTATCTACGTCGGTCGGCATCAGAGCTGAGATTTTGATTTCTCTCTCTCTCTCTCTCTCTCTCTCTCTCTTTTTAAACTTCAATCTACAGGACAAAAAGCAAAAATCTACCACTTGGGTAGGAACTCTAAGGAACTGTTTTTAGATACAAATTATTCATTTTCTAGGGCTTTGATTTCATCTCTCTCTCATCTACCAGTCAGGGTCCCCTCTTGTTTTTCTATGCCCACCTACCAGCTCTGTCGTGATGGATCTCTGACCAAAGCTTACATTACCCCAGAAAACACAATCATTTAGAAACCCCAGACTGTAAAATAAAAGTTTCTCACTCAGCTCAGAGATTTCTGTGGACGAAGAAGAAAAAAAACCCCAAATTTTACTAGAGTCAAAATTCGATCCAGGTCTCAAAAATTGACCAAACCCAAAATTTTCAGCTGGTTTCTCAGCTGACTGACTACCGTTTGAAAAAACCCTATTGAGATTTCAGCTTAATAGAAACCAGAACCAGAACCAGAACAAAGTTGCAGGGTTTTTATAAGACCGCTAAAGAACACAACGAGAATGAGAGGGGAGAGAGAGAAGGCAATGTTTTTGCTCTGCTGCTTTTCTCACCGACTTTTCAGGAGAGAGAGAGAGAGAAACTGAAAAAGTGATAAATAAATAAAAATTGTTATTGCCACTTTCAAAACTTTTTTATACTTCGAACTTTATATAAAAAATGACATTATTACGGTATAATTTTACTTCTCTTTATTTGTAAGTGAGAGATACCAAATACGAATATGAATCATATAATGGCTCGTTTATTGTGAAGCTCACCCACTCTCTCACCTCTTATAATATCTTGAGTTCCAATAACAGGTTTTATATAAAATAGATGTTTAATCGAGTTTAATTAGTGGAAAGTATGGGATTAATCTGAGTAGGCCATGACTTGTTGTTCAAGATTCTAATTACAGACACGGAGGCTAATCCATTCCACGTGTCGGAATTTGGGCGTTCTTAGGCACACTGTCGGACGAGGGGCCGATGGGGTTTGTCGTTTAGTCCAGTGCTTGAATGCGTTTTGATCGACGACCGCTGCTTTGATTTCATAAAAGTCAAACAACTTTTGTCTTGATTGGTGTTCTCACCCCCTTCTGATCTGGACACGTTGTTGGGTTTTGTAGGCCGCACCATGTGCAATTACTGCTCTTTTTTCTACTGTTTTATATTTTTTGGGTTTACTGGTTTACACGTTGGATTTAAAGGATCACACGTGGCTTGTTATTTTTCCCAGAAATTGCAGGGCGATATAATCCAACCTTATGCAAACTTTGAATATCATTGCTTCCACCTCCCACACCTCTTTCTACTCTCTGGAGATAAGATTTGATCGCATTGAACGAAGGGAAAAGAAGAAGAGATAAAAACGAAAAACACAACCATTGGATTTAAAGAAAACTAAAGAAAAAAATTTAAAAATTTTGAGTTTTAACGATAAGAATAAAAAAAAAATGTAAAGTGAATATTACCAAGATTGATTTTTTAGTATAAAAATATGGTTTTTCATTAAAATGAACAGTAACGACAGCTTTTCGTTAAAATTCTCTTAGATTTAATATAAAGTTTGTTCACGCGACACAAATTTAACATCACATCAGTAAAAATGTTAGACTCGTAATTGACACATTTTCATCTAACGGTTAATTAACTGGTTGTTTAACGAATATATGACATTGTAATGAATTTGTAAGTGCGTGCATGACATTACATGTTAAAAAAAAAAAGGAAAATTAGAATGCCCTACATCTTTTCTATAGTTGTTAGATTAAACATTCATTCCTTTTAAAGATTTGATTAAGGTGCTTTGATCAATTGTCACTTAAATAATTTTCTATTTATTTAATTTCCATATCATTAATTTAAATGCATTTATATAGAAACTTAAGGTAGCTTAGCAACTAATTGTCTATAATATAGGAATTTAATTTCGTCAATCCCCTTCTACGCATTAAATGACATTTTTTAATAAAATAAAATAAAAAATTAATTAACCAATTCCTCATTTCCTTATTATCAGTATTTAAAAAAATATATCTTTCTATTAAAAATGTCTCAATAAAAGTCTTCAATACATATTTTTTTTCACGTAAAGATATATAAAAATATACTTAAAACTTATGGTACATTTGAAAACAAAAGTATCAACTGTTGGTACGTTTAGATTTCAAATGTACCGAGAAACCAAATGTACTCATTATTATGTAACCATTTTGGTACGTTTAGATTTCAAATATAAAGAGAAACCAAATGTACCAAAATTTCAAATGTACCATAAATCCAAATGTGCCCATTGTCAGGTAACCATTTTGATACGTTTAGATTCTAAATGTACCAAAAGACCAAATGAACAAAAAATCCCAAATGTACCACAAAATCAAATGTCTCTATCAGATAACCATTTTGGTACATTTACATTCCAAATGTACCAAGAAATACAAAAAATCAAATCTACTATAAAACTAAATGTGTCCGTATTATAGGTAACTAGACGTAGCAATATAATCAAAAAAATTATTTATTATGTGTTGGATCTTCTAAATAATAAAATCTGACAATTTTTTTATAAATTATACATATACTAAAACCCAACACAAAAAACAGTGTTCTTCCTTTTTTGCCCTTACTTGGTTCTTTTATTTCATTTCTGCCTGATTTGCACATGTCGTTCATCGCTTTTAGGAAGGAGACAGAAAAAGTCGGGTCTTTCCATTTGCTTCCCATACGTTCCATTTGCTTCCGGTACGTTCTTCTTCCTCCTCTCTTCACTTTCACTCTTCGTTCTTCTTCCAAAAACTAAATTGGAAGATCTGTTTTTGATTAATTTGGTTTTGCTTTCTATCTCCACAGCACTGCCCATTTTCCACCCTAATCACATCTCAAATTCTTCCACTTTTGAACACATGTCCGGCGAAGGTCGGTAGCTTCATTCATACCCAATTTACCTAAAGATAATTTTTATCAGTGATGGGTCTTTAAATGGAGCTTCATTGTGTTAGGATTTTGTTGAATTCAATTTGATTTAAGGGTCCTTTTCACTGGTTTTGAAGAAACCAAATTAAATGTGCCTTTGGATCTTTCTATGTCATTCTTATGTGTTTTTTTGGCCAACCTGTGATGTGCAGTAGTACTTTTTTGTTTTGCTTCATTGCGGTTAATGTTTCAAAGTTGTCTTACGTACAAATCAATGCATGATCTACTGGAATTAGCTTTCTTTTTTCATCTCTGTATTTCCTGTAAGGTTGTCTGTGATGTACTAGCTGGAATGGAAAAATATTCATGCATGTACAGTTTTGGATGCGGGTACTGATTGAATATTCATGCATGTGTAGTTGTCTGTGAAGTACTAGCTTCATTTCTTGTATGGTTGTGGTTTAAAAGATTTTTGTTTGTGATTGATAAGAATTGAAGGGCAATTCAGTCTGCACACTATAGATCAACAGTGTCACCACGTGTTCTCTGGATATTACCTTTTGATTTTGTCCCACGATTTTAACATCGTACGTGCATCATTGGTTCGCTGTTTTTATTTTCTTCTACAGCATGGAGAGGTGTGCAAGGCACTCTTTGTAATTTATTGCAAAATAATGTTAAATTTTCCTTATTTGGAAACAGCTTGAGCTAGGAGCAAGTCTAGTATCCAAGCTATACATTCATTGCATGTAGTACAGAGATAGAAGCATGTAAGTCATTCCTTTTAGTTTACGATTTTCCAACGACGTGTTTTTGATAGGTTCGATCATGTATATAAGCATTTGATAGTGAATACATGTATGCTTCACAATTGAAAAGAAGTGGAATGGTAGTTTTAGGTAATTGTCGAGATTTTTGGTGATCCTCTTTTGTCATGCTACCGATTTACGATTCCTATCATGGTTCACAAAAATGTTAATGTATGCAAGAAGGCTGTTGATGCTACTGTTTTTATTTTTTATTTTTTTATTTTTTACTTTTTTTTGTAACCGATTTAAGAGTTGCTAATGTATTATTATTAGCATAAACGTCTGACTGCCACATATCATTTTGTTTTCTACAGCTGCCAATGCCAAAACCTCTAACAAAATGGGAAACTTTTGCCAAAACAAAAGTTAAATCATTACTATAGGAGTCGAATAGTACATTTCTTTTGTTTCTTTTTTCTTTCTTCTTCCCCCTTAAGGCTCTTTTTTGGTTTCTCATATGTGCCCATTTGGTGTGGAGAAATGTAGTTAGATTCAAGATTTTGAGAAATTGGAATATCCTTTAGGAAAATGACACAGTTTGGGTTTGGACCTGTCAAGTTGTTATAAGATAAGTCATAGGTATCCACTCTAACCATTTTCTGAATTGTTGTAGGGGATTTTCCTTGAGAGATGGTTGTGTGAGATGTTGAGAACCTATAAATTTGTGAGCTGTTCCAAGTCTGAATGTATCACTCTGGAGAAACTTAGGAGTAAGTTACCAATCTATACCAATTTTGATTTTCAAAAATCCCTATTTTTCTTACTAAACTGAACAGTTCAAATTGGTTTTGTCAGATGGTGCATGAATTTCCATATTCACTGTGTTACTATGTTGTTACAGTAGTTTAACTGATGTTTGTCCACAGATTTTTGCTAATTTTAATTCCTGCATTCTCAATTTATCTCAATGTTTTAAAAGGCTCGCCTCAGGGCGTGCCTAGGTGCCTTGTGAGGCTGGGCTTGAGGGTTGCCGCCTCTGTTTTGAGGGAGTGGGCGAAAGGCGTCGGAAGGCATCGTCGGAGCCGCCTAGGCGCGCCTCAGGGGTTTTCTTTTTTTTTTTTGAACTCCCAAACCCAAATTTTGGGTAAGGTTTTAATTACCTCATACCTCTTCCTTGCACTATCATCTCTTTGCCTTTATTTTTATTTTTATTTTTTTATATAATGGATGTGTGTGTTGTCTGCGTGCATTGTTATATGTGTGTTCATTGTGCTTTTTATCATTTATATTTTATATATATATATAATATAATATATGTGTATATATATATATATGTGTGTGTGTATATGTATTTATAATATATGTGTACGCTTAGTGTATATATTAAAAAATTTAGGTCCCGTGAGGTTTCGTCTCATGCCTAGGCTGGGCTATCCCTCGGACGCCTCGCCCACGCCTCACGCTTTTAATACATTGATTTGTCTATAAGTTATTGTATAATTTTAACATAAAATTCTCATTGATTTGTCTATAAATTATTGTATAATTTTAACATAAAATTCTTTGTTCTTTATTTATTTTATTTTCTTTCGTTGATACTGGTGTTTGCATTTACAAAAATTGCATCAGATTGAGCCTTGATGATGCTGATGAAAGTGAGAGGCTGAACTCTTTGCATAAAATTGTTGCATAAAATTGCATCAGTTTATATAAAGATGAGATACATATGAACTCATTGCCTGTCTACCCCTACATATGTGTGTGTGTGTGTTTTTTTTTGGTTGTTCAACCTGACCTTTTAAATCCTCCAACTACATTAAAGACAGAAATCTGTCTATGTTTCACAAACCAATTTACGTAACAGATTTTTTTTTTCCTTCTTTTTCATCTTCCTCAATAAATATTGTTTAATAATACTAAAATCTTTTAGTTGTAACAACCAAAGAA